TTATCTTCTTTTATTTGTGACGTCGTCGTTTTGAGAAATTTTTGATACGCTCTTCTTTTTCTTTTGCGCAATTTCGAAAAAAAGCGAATGAAAAATAATTTTTCATTATATTGGAGAGTATTTTTTTTTTTTTAAAGTAGTTTGGAAAAAAAATGTTGCCAGCAGGAAAGCAGAGTTGGTTTTTTCTTTTTTTTTTTTTTAATGCGTCCCGAGTGCGTTGAGCGAATCGTGTGCAAGGATCCCTTTCAGCGGCACACGTCGCTAGTTTTACGAGCAATAATTATCGATGCGCACAACTCTTCCGTAGTATTCGCAGAGATTGAGATATGCCGCTCTCTTCCGGCTGATAACGAGTGCTGATAACCGGCTGCGTTTTACCCCGTGTACGCCGAGGCAAATTGGTCGTCGACTCGGGAGTCGAGGAATACAATATACGTTTTATAATACCCACTTATACTCGATACAAACTTTTTTTTTTCTTTTTTTTCCCTTGGTCGAAGATAAAAAAAAAGAAGTTGTAAAGATCAAGATCGAATCGTTCAGGAAAAATAGAAAAAAATCAGGAATTTTTAATTTTTAGTTTTAGAATTTTGATTTTTGGTGAATTCAACAATAATCAAAATTCTAGAACTAAAGTTTAAAAATTTCGAGGCTGACGAGTTTCGAGGGTGGAGAAAGTTTTGTGAAAAAAAATTCTATTTGAGCTATAAAAGCAATTATTTTATCCAAAAAACGTTTTTCGATCTACGATACAATAAATTGAAACGTTATAATTTGTAGATTTAAATTACACTTGGCGGAATTTAATAGTCTGAGAGTAAAGACGTATGTCTTTGGTTTTTTTTTTCTTTTTTGCGTCTTCTCGATCTTCTTCACATACTTTTCATTCGTCAGTTCTCTATCTCTTCAAACGGTAGATCAATCAATATATATTTCATCCCTTTCTGTCTTGTTCTTTTTTTTTTTGGATTTCTGTCTCAGTTCTCCTCTCTCGTCTCTCTAACGAGCTCATCGCTCGCGAAACTAACGAAAGGTACACGGGGGGAAAAAAAAGACGGAAAAAAAACTCCTTCAAGAAAATGGTACAAAATGGCCCTTGAGAAATGTTGTTCTGAACGCGAGGGCGTTGCCATGAAAACTTGAATGGTATATACGGATAAATGATCGGACGATCACGATCCTGCTGACCCGATCATTTCTCAGATCCGCCTTCGACTAATTGCATATGAAATGAAAGCGGACGATCGATCTGTCTATTAAAAATGTGTCTTGAGTCTAGACGCACGATCGAATTTTTGAAAATTCGATTTTTGTTTTTTGATATTTTTCTTTTTTTGATAATTTGAGGAGATTTTCTAATCTTTCTTTCTCTCTTTTATTTTTATTCATTTTTTCTTACTCTAGTAATTTTTATCGGTTTTATTTATTATTTCCAGTAATTTCCTCAGTTTTTGTAAAATTATCAAATTGAGACAAAAAACGAATCAAAATGTTGCTTCGCAACACTTTTGATTCGTTTTTTGTCTCAATTTGATAATTTTACAAAAACTTTGCACTTCAAAATAATAAAAGTTATTTTTTAATAATTTTTCTTTATATGTTTAAAATTTTCAAATAATATACTGAAAATCATTGAATTCTTCGAGAATATTCAATTATTTTACAAAATAATTGAATTTTTCACAGGAGTTCAATTATTTAAAGAAAATTTAATAAACTCCAATTCAAGAATTCAATTATTTTTAAAAATAATGAAATTTTCGCTGGAATTCAATTATTTCAAATACAATTTTACTTAAATTCCAGGGAAAATTCAATTATTTAAAAAACTTTTAATAAAATCCAATTCAAGAATTCAATTATTTTTAAAAATAATTAAATTTTCGCTGGAATTCAATTATTTCAAATTCAAATACAATTTTAATTAAATTCCAGGGAAAATTCAATTATTTAAAAAACTTTTAATAAAATTCTAATCAAGAATTCGATTATTTTCAAAAATAATGAAATTTTCGCTGGAATTCAATTATTTTAAATACAATTTTAATTAAATTCCAGGGAAAATTCAATTATTTTACAAAATCATTGCATTCTTCAAGAAAATTTAATTATTTTACAAAATAATTGAATTTTTGACAGGAGTTCAATTATTTAAAAAACTTTTAATAAAATCCAATTCAAAAATTCGATTATATTAAAAATTATGAAATTTTCGCTGGAATTCAATTATTTCAAATACAATTTTAATTAAATTACAGGGAAAATTCAATTATTTTATAAAATCATTGAATTCTTCGAGAAAATTCAATTATTTTAAAAATAATTTTTGTAAAATTCTTCGCCAAAATACACATATTTTTTGAAATTTTGCAAAAATACGATTTTTTGCAGTAATAATAAATTTTTTCGCCGGGATTCAATTATTTAAAAAGGTTCTTAATAAAATTCTATAATAAAATTCTTATTAGGATTTCACTTATTTTCAATACAATTTTAATTGATTTCTTCGAAAATTTAAATTATTTTTAAAAATCTTGTAAAAATTTCTACGAGAAAATTCAATTTTTTAAAAAAAATAATTGAATTTTTCGCAGGAGTTCAATTATTTAAAAAAAATAATTGAATTTTTCACTTGGAGTTCAATTATTTAAAGAACATTGAAATTCAATTCACTTATTTTTAATACAATTTTAATTGAATTCTAGGGGAAATTCAATTATTTTTAAACATTTTTTAAAAATACTTTGAAAGAATTCAATAATTCCCTTTTTTTAAATTTTACAAAATTTCAATTATTTGTAGAAATAATAAATTTTTTCGCTAAAATTCAATTATTTAAAAAAAGTTTTAATAAAATTCTATTCAAGAATTCTATTAATTTCAGAAAATGTAATTAAAATTGTATTGAAAGTAATTTAAGTCTTGAAAAGATTTTTATTAAAATTCTTTAAAATAATTTAATTGTTTTGAAGAATTTAATTCAATATTCTTCAAAATAATAAAGTTTATTTTAAACAATTTTTACCGATAACTTTCAAAGTGAGTAGGTAAATTTTATAAAAAATATTTTTTAAAGTTTTAAAAATAATTTTTTTAAAGTTTTTAAAATAATTGTGTTTATTATTAATGGTAATTAACGATTTTCCTGTTAAATTTATATTAAAATTATTCAGTAGAAAATTAAATTCTTTTAAACAATTTTATTAGAATTTTTGTAAATATAATTATATATTTTTTTTAAAAAAAATTTCATTAAATTTCGTAAAAATAATGTAATTTTTTAAAGAATTTTAAGGGAAAATTTTTGAAAATAATTGAAATTTTATTAAAGCTTTTGAAAATAATTGAATTTTAATAATGACTTTAAAAATAATTTCTCCGAGACATTTTATTATTTTTGAAAATAATTGAATTATTTTGGAGAATTTTATTATTTTGAAAATATTTTAGCGAAGAATTTTCTCTTATTTTTGAAAATAATTCATTTCTTGCGGACGATTTTACAATTCATAAAAATAATTGAATAGCTTCGAAGAATTTTATCTAAAATTTTGAAATAATTGAATTTTATTAAAAATTTTGAAAATATTGACTTTAAAAAAAAATTTCATCAAAATTGTTGAAAATAATTGAGTTTATAATTTATATTAAAATTCTTAAAAAGAATTTTATTTACTTTTACTATTTTTTTTTTACTATCGATTTTTAATTAGACTAAATTAACTAATAAAATTTTTTATTTCTATGTTTTTTTTATTTATTTGTTTTTTATTTTTTGCTTTTTATTTATTTATTTTTCTTGTTTGATTTTTTTGAGCTGTGAGAAATCAAGGAAAGAGTGATAGTGGTTTGTCGAGCAAAGCGTTTAAGGGATGGGTATCGTATTATAAAAGCAATTAGAGGTTCTCAGATTAGATGTAGCACATCGTACATAACAAATATGATAATATGCCTTTGCAGTGTGTGTGTTGCCTCAAGGGTTTCTGGTCCTTCAGCCAACGTGTATTTGTGTATAAAGAAAAGAGGGATTCGGTCTCTCAGGCGGGTTAAACGGTATCATTAATAATCGGGTCTAACTAATCTGTCTGTCGCTATGAGCCACAGTCGTTTCACTTCTGTTTTTATTAGCAATGCACTTTTTTAGATAAAATATTCTGTTTCTTCAACTTTTTTTTCTCCTCAATATTCTATATATTATTCATTTTTTTTCTTCGTTTGCACACGCGAAAAAAGTACAATATTCGAAAAGTGCAAAAAAAATTATTTTTTTGCACTCTTCGAATAATTGTGCTTTTTTCTTATTTTACACTCAGTAGAAAATTTTCTTTTGAGGAAAAATAATCATTTTTTTGTTAACTTTGCACACGAAGAAAATTTTTCTTTGAAAAATAAAAATTGAAAAAAGAAGAGTTTGAAATTTGGGAATTTTGATAAACGATTTTTTTTCAGGTAGAATTTTCCTTTAATTTTATGTATATTTTCAGCTTAAGTATGACATCATTTACAATGTCGGCGACGGGAATTCACGCCCACGTTATTTCCAGCAGTTCACTGAATTATTTTCGCTACTATTAAGTTATTATTTTAGATGTCTGAATGATTGATTGTGACTGTTATATTTGTAGGAGAGATGTTTGTGTATTAAAATTGTTACACTGAAAGAGAGAGAATTATTCCTTTTAATCCAAAGGGAATAATTTTACTTAAAAATTATTTCAAAAATTTATTTTTATTTAGAAAAAAATTAATTTTCATTTGGAAGAATTTTTACATTTGCTTCATAATTTTTTTAAATTATTCAATTTTTGCGAAATTGTTGTTTGTCAGAAGATTAATTTTAAAAATTGATTGTAAGAATCAATTTTTAAATTTCTAGTTGTGAGAATTAATATTGTAAATTAATTTGTAAATAAATTAATTTTGTAAATTTTGAATTGTGAGAATTTTTTATTTTTACTTTCGACTAAATAATTAACACTTGTTTTTCTTTTATTTTTCAGTTGTACGAGATCAACAACGATCCGAGCAGAAAGGAGTTCCTTGACGATCTTTTCAGTTTTATGCAAAAGAGGGGTATGTTTTTACAAAAAAAAAATTTCAGAAAAAGATATTTTTTCCGTGTAAAAAATATTCTTTTTTATAGCTTCTTTGAGGGAAGAATATTTAGAATGTTATAAATTTTTCTTCGTCAACGGTTTTTCATTGTCTTTTAATTCAGTAATTCTTATTATTGTTGAGCGCAAATTATCTAACTACATATTTTGCTTTGGAGCAAATAAACAAAATTTATATTCAAGACATGTGACTGAAACGGTCAAAGACACGTGTGTATCCGCGACCCGCATTACGTTTCCTGCACACGTGAATTATTTAAGTTATTCAACACTTAACCACGTGGGTAAAAGGTTTCGATAATTCTATACGCATCTGCTGGAATTTTAAATTAAATAGAGGAAATAAACAGAAGCGTATTTCCGTTCATGTCTTAGTAATAATTAGAAAGAATTTTTTTTCTCCTCTTTCTTCTTTTTCTTCTTCTTCTTCTTTCGGAAATATTTATAAATGCCTGGAAAATTTTTTTTCGTATTTTATTTTTGATTATGAGAATTTGGTTTCGTATTCTTTTGAGTACGTTCGATTTTGCAAATTTATTTCTGTAGATTATTTAAAGAAAATATTCTACACAAAATATTTTAATTAAAATATTTTTATCAAAATATTTTAGACAAAATATTTTTAAATATTAAATTAAATATCAAATTAAATATTGAATTTAATATTAAACTGTGAATTTCAAGTTTAGTATTTTTGAGTGAAATTAATTTTGAAAATCTATTTCAATAAATTTCAACAAAATATTAAATTAAATAATATGAAGTTGAATAGTAAATTTACTATTAAACTGAATATAAAATTTAATATTTTGAGTAAATTTAATTTTGCAAATCTATTTCAAAAACTTATTATTTAATAAATCCTTCGAAACAATTCAATTATTTTTATAAAAAGTAAAATTCTTCGCAAGAATTCAATTAATTTTATAAGTAATAAAATCCTTTGCAGGAATTCGATTATTTACTAAAATTTTAATAAATTTTTCGAAATAACTCAACTATTTTTATAAATAGGAAAATTCTTTGCAGGAATTAAATTCTTTTCAAAAACATTTAATTCAATTATATTTAAATTAGAATTTGCATAAAATTTGTCGAAAGAAATTAATTATTTAAAAGTTTTTATAAAATTCTTCGCAAGAATTAAATTATTTTTATAAATATTTATATTCTTTCATGAGTAATAAAAATTCGCTGCAGAAATTTTTAATTTATAAGCACAATAAGGAAAAAGTTAATATTTTTGATGGAAATTCAATTTTTTTTTAAATATTCGATAAAATTCTAAGCAAGAATTCAATTATTTTCATAAATAATAAAATTTAAATAGTAAAATCCTTTGCAGGAATTCAATTATTTTTAAAACAATTTTAATTGAATTCCTCTGATGAATTCAAATATTTTAAAATATTGCCATAAATTTCAATTATTTTCTAAAATTTTAATAAATTTTTCGAAACAACTCAACTATTTTTATAAATAGTAAAATTCTTCGCAAGAATTGAATTATTTTCATAAATTTTTTTTTAATTCTCTTTAAAATTTCAATTGCTTTCAAAATTTTCAATTAAAATTATTAATGAAACTCCATTTGTTTAAAAAAAATTGTCTCTAAAAAGTATTTTCCCTTGAAAAAAATCTTTTTTTCTATTTTTCATTGAGAGAATACAAAAAATAGAATCAGAAGGTAATTTTTGATCTCAAGAAATAAAAATTCAATTGCACCCCGCTTGAAATAAGCTAATTAATTAAAATTTCTTTTTTTATTGTTTAGAGAGTTGTTACAAATTGGATTTCTGATCGATATTCGTTTTTACTCGTAGCTGGCGGGCCAATTGCATTTTGAGACGATGAGATGAAGGAATACGTTCCGAGTAATGTGCAAATACGTCAAAATCAGTCACGCGTTGTATATATATGTGTGTCTGTACTGGCTTTTAGATTAATTTAACGATGTTCGATATAAACGAGCAAGTGGCAAGTTAGCAAGGGACCGGAAACGTCGGCCTCTAATTATAAACATGGCGACTCGTCCATCAATCAACTCGCTAGGAGAAGTCTCTCATCTCATTCTTTCTCTCTCTTTAAATTTTCGCGCTCGTAACACAAACTTTGTGTTTTTGACTCTCAGACTGATGCTATTATTGTCTCTCCGTTTTCTTGACAATAATTAGAGAGGATTGGATCAACTGTCATCGTCTTTTCTTCTTTTTTCAATAAAAAAAGAAAAAAAAAAATGAGTGACGAAACAATTGTCCCTGATCGTACCGGAAATTATCTCGTATTATTGGAAGGAATTTTTTTTCTGCTTGGAGAATTTTAAACATTTCTAATTTTACAAGTGGAATAAATAGTCGAATCAAATTTTTTCCTATAGGAAAATTAATAATAGAAAACATAATGTTTCGAAAGTTCGAATGAACGAGATTTTATTATTTAAGTTAATTTATTACTAATTTATCTATTGAGATTGAAATGATTAATTTGTGAATTTGTTCTTAATAAGGAAAAAATAATTGTTTTGGTGAATTTTCTGTTTTTAGAAATTGGTGGAAAATTGGGAGAAAGAGAGCGAAGAAAGAGAAATGTTTCGACGAGACTGGAGAGATAAAGTGCTTGATAGTTGACACAAATTGGTGGAGACTTGAACTAATACAGGATGGGGGTTGATGAATGACCTTTTATATGCGTGTTTCATTGGCGCGTCGACATCGCGGGGCCTTTATATGTTCCTTTAGCGTTGAATTATAGTACACGGGTCTCTCGTTGGCACAATAAGCAGCCCCGTAGGGGGTACCATTCCTCTCTTCAGACTCACACCTGATGTTACTGTATAAACTTCTGCTTCACTCTCTCATCGCTTCAAAATTTTTTCTTTTTGTCTTTATTTCTTCTTTCGCAAAAAAAGACAATTTTTTTGTTTTTATTTTCCTCTTTCTTTCTTCTTTTGCAAAAAAAAGACAATTTTTTTGCCTTTATTTTCCCCTTTCTTTCTTCTTTTTCAAGAAAGACAATTTTTGTTGTCTTTATTTTCCCCTTTCTTTCTCCTTTCTCAAAAAAGACAATTTTTTTTCTTCTTTTGATTTTCTTCCGAAGAGACAAATTTTATTTGTTTTTGGAATTTCTTTCGAAAAGTTAAGTTAAGGAAATTTCTTCTTCAACATTCGCAAAATTATTGAAATCGTCGCTTACAATTTTGTCAATCTCGGCTGTTAATAAATCTGAAATTGAGATAATTTCACGTCTTCTTTGAAATTTGAAAGGAACAATATTTTTTTTACAATTTCATACTTTATTTAAATTTAATTTAAAAAAATAAGTAAAATTAATGTTTTTTATATTTAATAAAACAATCTATGTTCTATAGTAATAATCGTTGTATTCTGGAAATCTGCTTGCAGTTTGAAGTCAGTTGTTGTTTGCTTTTTTGTTTCCTAACTTTTTCAATAATTTTTCATATATCAAATAAGTATTTTCAATGTTAAAATTAATGTTTTGAAAATCATTGAATTCCTGCAAAGAATTCTATCAAAAAACTTGAAATAATTGAATTCCTTAAAAGAATTTTTTTATTTAGAAAAATAATTTAATTCTCGTTAATAATAATTATGTTAAAATTATTGATAATTTTAATTAAATTTTTTTTGAAGACTTTCTTTGGATTTTTTTTTTTAAATAATGGAGTTTCTTTAAAAATTTTAATTAAAAATTTTTTAAATAATTGAATTTTATGAACAATTTCTTTCAAGTTTTTAAAATAATAGTGTATGTTAATAATTGAAATTAAACATTTAATTATTGAATTTCATTAAAATTTTAGAAAATAATTGAATTTTTTTGAAAAATTTTATAACGAATTAAGAAAAAAATTGAATTCTTTCGTGAAATTTTCTTGAAAATAATTGAATTTCTGCAAAGAATTTTACTCTTTATAAAAAATTGACTTAATTCGAAGGATTTATTAAAAGTTTAGAAAATAATTGAATTTTTTCGAAAAATATTATTAAAAATTATTTAAAAAATTGAATTCTTTCATGAAATTTTATTAAAATTGTATTAAATATTTAAAAATAATTGAATTTATTAAAATTTTAGAAAGTAATTGAATTTTGAATTTTTTTGAAATTTTTTATTACAAATTAAAGAAAAAATTGAAATCTTTCGTGAATTTTTTTTAAATAATTGAGTTTTTGCAAAGAATTTTACAATTTATAAATATAATTGAATTGTTGCGAAGAATTTATCAAAATTCCAGAAAGTAATTGAATTTTGAATTTTTTTTCAAATCCTTTATCACAAATTAAGAAAAAAATTGAATTCTTTCGTGAAATTTTTTTGAATATAATTGAATTTTTGTAAACAAATTTACAATTTATAAATATAATAGAATTTTTGCGAAGAATTTATTAAAAGTTTAGAAAATAATTGAATTTTTCCAAAAATATTATTAAAATTTTAAAAAATGAATTCTTTCATGAAATTTTATTAAAAATAATAGAATTAATTACAATTTTAGAAAGTAATTGAATTTTTAATTTTTTTTGAAATTTTTTATAATAAATTAGTAAAAAAATTGATTTCTTTCGTAAAATTGTTTTGAATATACTTGAATTTTTGAAAAGAATTTTAATATTTATAAATAAATATAATTGAATTGATTCGAAGGATTTATAAAAATTTTAGAAAATAATTGAATTCTTCTAAAATATTTTATATCGAATTAAGAAAAAAACTCGGAAAAAATTGAATTTTTTCGTGAAATTTTTTTGAAAATAATAGAATTTTTGCAAAGATTTTACTATTTTAAAAAATAATTGAATTGTTTCGAAGGATTTATTAAATTTTATTTATTTTGTTTGAAAATAATTGAATTTTTGCCAAAAATTTTACAATTTGTAAAAATAATTGAATTCTTACGGAAGAATGTTATTGTTCAATAAAATAATTGAATTCTTGCGT